CGGGGGCCGGGCCCAGCCCTCGGGGCCCTGTCCGCCGCCTCAGGCCCGGCCCGCAGCGGGCACCGGCACCTCCAGCGGGGCGGGGGTAGCCGCCTCCCTGTTTACTTCCTCAGCGTTTGGCAGCCGCGGCCGGAGGATCCCTCTCCCTCTTTTCCCTGAAGTATAATCACGTCTAGCTGAGGGAATGGGGCAGGGGACTCCGCTCCAAGCTTTGCTGCTGTTCACCTCCCGACCTCTGGCGCGTGTTTGCACTTTCTGACACCAGATTTCCTATGTGGGAGCGATCAAGTTCCATCTTTTTGAAGGTGGATGCAGGACCAGCTGGCAGCTGTAGCAAAAACTCCTGGACTCGGGAGTCAAGAGTTGGTCCCTGCTGCCAGTGTGGAGCCCTAGAGGAACGGGTGAGTGAAGCCCAATGCACTCCCCAGCCAAACGGCGGTGGGGAGCAGTGCCTTGCAAAGCAGCAGGGTCCTGGGAGCTCTCCCACCATGGTACCCAGGCCTCCTCCTCACACCCAGCCCCCCCAGAAGCTCCTGTTTTGCAAAGGGACTCCCCAGGGCAGACTTCTTCTGGTCTGGCCAGCTCCCAGAGCTAGGAGCAGAGAGGCCTCTCCCCACCTGCATCAGAGCTGCAGCCATCCATCCCTGCAGCCCCAGGGCATGGGGACACCCAGGACTCGCTGCATGGGTCACACCAGCAAGCCTGGGAGGAGGAACCAGCCCTGCAGCAGGAATGCACAACTCCAGCCAAAACATGCTGTTCCCTGTAAAAACGCAATCATGTGGAAAACAGCAGCTAATGAAGAGGTCTGTCTTCTGCACAAAGAGGGAATGGATAAAACAGAGCCTATGCTTGAGTGAAGGACTTGTTTTTGTTGTAAAGTCTCCTTCATAGTACCTCCTAAGTGAAAACCAACCCCAAAGCATGCAGACGCTGCTGGAAACAACAACCCTTTCCACTCACTACAGTTCTCCCTGCCACCAGTCCAGGGTGGGATGGCACAGGCTGCAATATAAAGACCACAGTATCTCAAAGGAACATTGAGGAGAACCGCTCTGCAACGTACCTGAAACCAGACATTGTAACGGTCTTTTCAGCCTTGAAAAGCCTATAAAACTTGCTCAGTAAATTCTATTACTCTGAAGTTACTGACCATGACTGTTGATTTGCTGCTGCCTCTCACAGCCAGAGCTGGTCCCTTGAGAAGGTCTGTGCTCAGGATGACCCCAGCATTCAGTGACTTGAACCTAAACCCGATCAACATCTAATTCTGGCAACCCAGGGAAGCGTGCTGAAGGCTTTGACCATGGCAGCTTTCCTTGCCCTGCATCTCGAGTACAACCGTTTGCACCCCAACCTCCTGGGAGATGCTGCGAAAGCACTCCAGCAAAGCTGTCGAGGAAAGCCACCTTTTCCAGGGCAAGAGCCTGCTGCCTGTGGTGGGCCTGGTCCAGTCCTGCTGGTACCAAAGGATGAGTCCAAGGCAGGCACAAGACACAAACAGTCCAGGGTTGGGGCACTAACCTTGCCACCTCATTCTCTGTGGATCTGGGTCAGCTGGAAAAGTGTTTGTGCCTGTCCAAAGCAGCACACTGCCGGCATGGTGGTAACAGCAGCACTTCTCAGGGTGGTATGCCAGTGCTTGCACTGAGGAGAGTTCAGTGCTATCTGGAAACTCTCCCTAAGGACCTGCTGCTGATGAAGATCTGCCAAATCCAGCAAGGACAGGGCTACAGAGGGCATAGCAGCAGCTCCTACATTCGGCACCTATAAGCAGTTCTTTAACACAGTAGGGTTGCCATGAATACTTCGTCCTACCAGCACCCATTTTCCAAGGCCCTTAGCCCAGCCTTAAAGCCAGGCTTTGCCTCTAGCAAGCAACTGCAGAACTAACTTCTTTTGCTCAGACCTGGTGCCAGCAGGGATTTGAAGTCCTGACGCACTGCTGCAGCACCAAGGTCCTTCATGGATGGCAGCAGCAAAGGCAAGATGGGGCTGGGAGAGAAAGCCAGAGGTACTGGCAGGACTCTCCAGCAACAGGAGTAAAGCCTGCCCTAGCAGGCAGGCCAGAGCAGGCACAGCACAGCCGTTACACAGGCTCGCAGTGCCGTTAACTCACTTTCCAGCTGGCAGGAAAAGGTACCCGACAGCTCAGCAAGACTTGCAGCCCCCCTGAAGACAGACACAGTCCCCCTTCATCTACCCTCTTGTTCCCTTGCAGGTGGAGAGTAGCCAAAGGCATAGGCAGGATGATTTTTGTCCCTTCCACTGGGTGCCTGATCTTAAAATCAGGCTACACTTCAGGAGGAAAAACCCAGCCTGGCTTTCTGGTTCCCACCTGGAGAGACCAGGGTACACAGAGGGCAAAAGCCCTATTTATATTCCAGCTGGGCAAGCAGAGCTTGTAATCACATCCAACCCTCCAGCCTACTGTGCTCGCTTTTAATCCCTGTCTCTGCATGGAGCCACACCACCACTCAGGTGGAAACTGTGTACAAGGTCCTTAGGGCAGGTTCAGAAGAGGAAGCTGAGACATGGCACTGGGAATTCTCTGGGGCACCATTTCCCCTCTCCAGCATTACTTCAGACACACACTACACAGGACAATGCTTCTCCCATCAGAAAAGAGTCAGCAAAAAGAGAACCAAGAGAGCCTGATCTCAGCTCAGCTACAGTCCCAGGCTCAGGGCTGGAGGAACAAGGGTCCCAAAAATAAAGAGAAGACAGAAATGCCACCAAACACCTGAGACCAAGGATGGAGACAGCCAAAACACAGCAGTCCCACCCATGGATGGAGGAGCTCAGCTCCTGTTCAGTCTGGCACAGGGGCCCCTACACCTCCCCGAGCACCCCAGCACATGTGTCTGGGAACAACCCCCAGCCCACTGGATCACAGGGAAGTGAAACAGGCTGGCATTTGGGACTGCAACCACCATATCAAGGTGAACGGCTCTGAATATGGAGGGGGCTTGTTCACCCTGGACTGGTTTCAGGAGAGTTGCTGTCCTCCTGCTGTGTCTCTTACATCATTGGGCTAATAACTGGGCTTTACACACAGTTCTTGCTTCTGGTGAAGAAAACACTGAAACAGCCCTTTCCTAGGGACTCCCAGCAGCAGAGAGCCCTGAATGTCCTCCAGAACTATGAAGACGTGCAGGAACTCCAGATGTACAGTCAAAAATAGGTTTACTGGAATGTCTTTAGTCACAGCTGTAAGCAGCGATACTGAAAACACTGAGCTTGTGCATTCCTATGGCAGGACCAGGAAGTCTTCTGGATTCTAAAACCTAATTATTTCTTTTTTTCTACCCCCTGCCCACCCCACCCCACCCCCCCTTTTTTTTTTTTTTTTTGAAGAAGAGAGAAACACCACCCTTGCAGTTCTCCATAGAAGGGTCAGTTCCCTGTAACATAATAGGATGTTTCTCTTCAGACATTTTTCCCCTCCTTTGCTCTGATGAAAGGACAGAGTCCCCTCTGCCTTCCACAGCAGGCAGCAGGGAACTGCTCAGACAGTATTATTATTAATATTAGAACTCAACCATATATACAGATAAATTGTAGTGGCAAGTAGCCAGCTCCAAACCAGAGACTCAGAATTCCACAAAACAGGCAGTTTCGGAACTGAATCTTCTGTTATAAAAAAAGTCTAACAGTAGGAGCAGGTACTCAACCAAAAAAGAGGGTCATTTGGCAGTTCTTAAAACGCTGTTAGAACTGGCTACTTGCCACCACCTCCTCACTCCTTGGAGAAAAACAACTTCAAAGCTATATACAGATATCTCACTTAAATTACACAGCAGTTTGGTTATCCCAGAGCCAGCTCCACTGAAGCCTCCAGCTGCCCCGTCAGGTATGGTACTTCAGGACTATGGGTACTGAAAAACACAAAGAAACAAGCTCTCAGCCACACACCTTCGCATGCAACACCAATCTCCGCCAGAGAGATTCCCCCCCATTTCTCTAGTGACAAACACCAGGCAGCTGCATAGGAAAGTGTTTCCAAGCTCAAGCTAATGCAATCTGCTGCCTGCACACATGCTAGACAACATTTCCTGCCACCTTCATCTCCTTCCAGCTTCCCAAAATTAAACCAGATGGGATTTTCCATCAGTCTCTCTCTCTACAATGCTCTGACCCTGCTGCTAGCTCTTCCTCTCCTGCTGCAGGCTGTGTGTCAGCAGGACAAGAGGCTGCAAGGGTTTTGCCGAAGTAACAAGAACCGTTACAGAGCTGTCCCCAGCCACGGTGAATAGGAGGAAAACCCTCCGGACCCAGTGGCACAAAAGACCTGCGCTACCGTGCTGGACTGCCTCGATCCCTGGAGCATCATTCTAGAGGCAGAGGGCTGAATTACTTCTGCCTGGAAGAAACATGCTCTGGTCATTATTACCTGTTTGGTAGGAAAAGCAGCGACATCTCTGCTCTGGGGAGCTCCAGAGAGACCAGGCTGAGCAGGAAGGGCACGGGAAGGGACCAACGGCAAAGCCACGACAGCTACTTGCTGAAAATTAAGCAGCCTGGCAGCTTTGGTGAAGAGCGTTTGCAGGGACCAGACCCATTGCAAGATGGCTAATATATGTGGAGGGGCTTTTGGGAGACATCGCTGCAGTCTGAAACTCTTCCACCTACTCCCACCAGCCTCGGGATCACTCAGTGCCAACCCTGGATCAGTACAATGTTGTCAGGGCAGGGCAATGCTGGCATTCTTTGGCCACAGTAGGATTTGGTTTGAGCCTGTTCCTCTGCATTTAAACCTTGCAGAAGAGCAGCATGGAGTGGTCTACAGGCACTTTTTATGACTGCTTAAGTCAGTGTGGGGCCTGACAGGAGCAGCTCAGGTGCTCTCCCCCAGGGACAACAGCACCACGGTATCACTCATGGTGTGGACTGCCATGAGTATTTCAATACCAGACATGGCTGGGGTGACCTGGAGCTACTCACCGATAATCACGAGCAGGAGAACAACCGCCACCAGCACTATAATCGCCTTCATCTGCAAGGGACACACAGAAGCGTGTTACATAGGGTGCCATGTGTGGCTGCGTCTACCTGAAAGGAGGCCTTTGGCTTGCAGCATCTTTTCAGCTAGAAAGCAGAGCTTCTCCATCCCCTCCCAGGGAGGGCAGGTAACCGTGCCTCCACAAACCCACCCCTGCCTGTTCTCATTCTTGCTCACCTTGCAGCCTCGCCACCACATCTGCCTCCGAAGCTGCTTGGCTCTGTTGCTAAAAGCTGTTGCGTTGTCTGATAAACTTTCTATTGAAGGAAAGAAACGAGGCGATTCAGCAACGCACCCATGGTCAGAGCACCCACTCGTTCTACTAACTCCACTGAGTTTTAAGCAATAAACTCAGCATTAGGGGAAAAGACCCAACCACAGCATGATTCACCAAAGCCACAGCAGATGCCAATGTGACGCCCTTTGCTAGAGCACACACAGACCTGCTGAGTCCCACTGAGCCCCCTTTGTACTGGCTGTCCCCTGAGGACAGGAATTCAGTCTGCAAGCCAGCAAGCGAGCAAACAGCTGAAGTGCTCAGGGCCGTTGGGAGACAGACCATTCTACCTTTTCTTGAAGGAACAACTAGATCACAGCACCCAAACTCCTCCAAACTAACACTTCTGTGCAGGGCAGCAGAAGGTGAAGGTGGAAAGAGGAAAGCATCAGCAGAAAGTTATATCTGCAGCCCAAGGGTGGGAAACATCTCTCTCCAGAAGGACAGAAATACAAGCCCAGGTCTGCATTAGGCACTTCTGAACTGGAACTAGGTAACCTGGTGCAGCAACAGGGAGGACATGTGGGGAACAGGCCAGTAGAGCTGCATTTAGCATTGCACCTGATTTATCCTGCAGGTCATCCAGCCGCTCGCCTCTTTCAATCACCTTCGTGATGTTCTCCTGCATAACGTCGATGACTTCATCCACCTGGTTCTGGACACTAGAGCAAAGCAAAGGCAGCGTGAGGGGCAGAAGTGAGACCACCAGCTGTGCATTGCAGAGCCAGCCCTTGCTCAGAGCTGCCCGGGCTGGTGGGATCTGAGAGCTCACTGACAAAAATCAAAGGGGACAACAGTGGAACAAGGTTGATGAGGTGCCAAGAAAGCTAGAGGCATGGCATTGCCTGGGGTGGATCTCTAGCAATCCCAGGAAGGGTGAGGGAACACAAGGGGCTCAAAGAGAGCACTGGGAAGTCAGCAGAAGCAGGGCACCCTCCGTAACACCTTTAACACATAAATGCAGTAAGGAAAGGCACTAATTGCTGCTGGTCTGCACCTCTGCTGCAGAAGAGCTCACAAATGGAAAAAAACCCCACACTAAAACCCACACCTTATCTTTCCAGATTTCATAGAACCTCACACCGCACCTTTTCTAAAGAACTTGGGGTGAAATCAAAGCAAGGTGCACTCCTCCCTCTGGGAATAGAGTTGCTAAATGAAACCCACTCTGCCAGGGGCATCAAGAGGACAGTAAAGAAATGGCTGATATGAACTAAACCAAGTTATTATAATCCATCTTCTCATAGGTTACGCAACTCTGTGGGTAGTTGCTTCAGTGAACAGTAGCCTAAATCACACCCGCAGGGTTATTATAAATGCATTTATTCACTCCATAAAAAAGCCACACTAGTAAGAGAGAAAAATTCTCCTGGTGGAAAAATACTGCTACATTCTGGTTTGTATTTTGGAGCTAATACACTTTTATTTTCCTGGAGATAGAAATAAGAAATTTCTTGGGGCCCTAGGGAGACAATACATTGTTTGAGACATACTGTTCCCAGAAAGTAAATGGCAACAGCAATGTCTTGGAGGCAATGCTACACACAGGGCAACAAAACAGAAATAGCTCCAGGCCACTCACTCTGCATAAGTCTTCGGTTTGACAGCTTAGGTTGCCTTGATTAAAAACATTTACACACTTCAAAACATATCAAAACCCATCCAGCGTTTGCTAAATACGCAGCACAAATAGGCCACTTCACCAGCTCTCCACATCACCAGAAACGCATACCTCCTATTAACAGTGCGGCACTGGTGTCCCCAAGGGGAAGAAGGATTGCCAGTACCTCATCTTTAACACCTGCTTAGCACCCATACTATCCTGGTCCCCAAATTATCTTCCTCTTCGGACCCACACAAAACCCTCTCCTTCCCACTGCCAGCTCACAGATGCAGAAGCTCAAAGACATTATTTGCCAAATCAGGGTTTTTACAGCAAGCATCAGACCTAACTTTACCACTTAAAGAGCCATCATCCAGCACCTAGGCTCAGAGCACTTGGTATGACGAGGACAGCATATCCTCCACCACGGCCCAGGAAGCCAGGGCCAAGAAAGACTCAGAGCAACTTGCCCAAGGCCAGTCAATGGCACACTGCAGAACCAGGAACAGGGCTCCGTCCAAGCCACCATGCCTCTAATTAGAGACATAGGTGCACATTGACCTATTTCTCCTGCCCCCCTGCCAGCTACGTGCCTCTCACTGAGCAGATGCACATGTGGGGAGCGGCTGCAACAGACAATAGCGGTCACAATGGAAAAGCATTTACTTATCGTTCCAAAAACAGGCAAGGAAAGTCATTAAAAGAAAAGGCTTTTTTCTCCCCAAAAAGCTCTAGAAAGAACTCCAGATCTTTGAATATGGAGGGGTTTCCCATCTTAGTGTTTCCAGTCAGGCTCTGTAGCACCACTGCACTGCGGCTTCCAGAGCTGGAACAGACAGGCAACACCTCTGAAGCCAATTTCTGACTCAACAGCCCTTGTATGGCACATGCTGGACTCCAGCAGCACAGGTAAAAAACTTGCTTTATTTAGGACACCACAAGAAAGGGACCTGCCTTCCCTGTGCTGCATCGCAGAGTCCGTGGGAGCAGCATCTCTCTGAACCCACCTACACCATGCAGTGGCAGCTCCTGCCTTCCACATCAATGGCAGCCGCCTGCCAGGAGTTTCTTATCTGAAGGTGAAAGGCATAGACAATGCCCCAAATGCCTCTCAGCAGGAACCTGCCCCATGCCCACAAGCCTGTTCTGATCCACCATTTGTTTTGCAAGGTACGAGGCAAGTGGCAGAGCTGCCACCATTGGGAAAGCACAGAAGGTGGCACTGAGGATGCAGACAGATGCTGCCTGGGAAACATCTGGTGGTGCCCTGTGGAGCAAAGTGTCCACCCCACGCAGGACATGCACTGCCCCATGGCCCTTCCTTGGGGCAGTGGGTGAGGACATGAGGTGGAGGCATGCTCTGCAAGGGGGTTTCATTACTTTGGCACAGCAGACGAGTCCCAGCTCAGAGCCACCAGCAACACTGCTATAGCCTGAACATCTGTTATCCTCAAGTTTTTGCCAAGTTGGCTCCTCTAAGGCCATAAACATCAGTTTTACAGGCAGAAGACTACATTTGCAGTATGTAAATGTTTCTAAAATCATCTACTGGCTCCAAAATAAAGAGATTTCCTCCCACAACAGATTTGTAACCAAGTTATCTTGGTACAACTAACAAGTGGGGGCACGCAAAGTTACAATGCATCTAGGAACATGCACTGCAATGCAATGCCACCTGTATCCCCACAAGTACAGGTCAGAGCCTGGAGAGATGCTGCTGCAGTCCTGGAGCACCCCAAAGCATTTGAGGCATAGTGGGCAGGTACGTAACTTCAAGCTGCTCTGCTGTGTACCAGCATTTGGGAGACACCTCTGGAGCACAGACCCCCACTGCCCAAGCTGCATCTCGGCATCCCACCTCTTTTCACTTGAGCTACTGGTGAAAAGCTGCATGCCTTTGCTGCCTGCCCATAGCCTGGGAATGCTGTTAGCTGTCCCCAAGAGAACAAAACATTTCAAAGGTGGAGAATGGAGGCACAGAGAAATCAAGGCTTAAACTCTCACCAATGTTGAGGTGCTTAACACCCATGGAACATAGACACATTTGAGCACCCCAATATCTTTTGATATCTGATGTAAAAGAGAACCCTGGAAAAAAACAAGAAGGAAGAGACCAAGCCAGGGAATGAAACTTTGATATCCACACAGTGCCTTAATCAGACCTTAAGCCAGTCCTTGCTTTCTGCTCTCTCCCACCCATCACTGCTACAAGAGATGCCTCTCCAGGAGGGGGCTGAAAGATGCCCAGCCAATGCATTAGCCCTGCAGTTTCAGAACAAATCCAAAAATTCCCACTAGTTTGGCATGCTTGAGGTTGGAAACTCAAGTTGCATCAAGAAGAAAATATTTTCTTGTTTTATTTGGCAAGAGAGAATGAATCCTCTAATACAAAGTGTATTTCCTGTTAGGGAGCTATTGGCTTTTGACACATACATTTTGTGTGCTTCAATCCTGCCAGATTTCCAAGAGAAATAAAGTAGACTAAATACCTGCCAGGAAAGGGACCAAGACAAAAAGCATAAAGTATGTCTCCCACGACCCTCCTTCTTACTAATTACTGCAAATATGATGCTTTTAACAAGGACAGCAAGTGTACGCCATCAAAGCAACAAGAGACCCAATGGCGCTTAGCTTGGTTTAGACTCCTATTTTTTTGTGCTTTGCTGGGTCCAGAGCAGGAAGAATAAGCCTTTCCATTTTGGCTGCACTGGGTTATCTACTGAAAAACTCCCTGGGCTGGTCACGGTGTTGGGCTAATAACAGTGCTGCATTCTTCAGACGCCGTAAACAGGCCATGCACGCACCATGGGATGTGCTGCTCAAGGCTGCTTCTTGTCTCCAAGCTGGCTGTTTACAGCCAGCATGACACACTTCTATTTTCCACCCCAGCGATATTAATAGTGCTGTGTATTTTGGTGAAAATTACACCCAAACACCCCTCGTTGTGGCAGTAACCCAGGGAAAAGGGAACAGGATGGAAAGCCAAGCCAGATGGATGGTGCAAAGGCAGGAAGCCAGCACATCACAGTGCTCCTCAAGGCATGGCTCTCTGCAGAGGGGCTGCCCAGCAGACAGCCCTGCTGTATTCAACAACAGGGTATCAGGGCTGAACCCTGCCACAAATCCCTGTCTGTAAGTTGCTGGTTCATCACAACAGCAAGGAAGACAACAGTCTATGCTGCTCCAAAGCATTCCAGTCCTTGAAAGGATTACCCCCAACAAGGATGCCTGATGATACAGTCTCGGTACCACCTTCAAATGAAGGTCTGGACTATGGCTGATGTCCACTGCACAACCAGCCACCTGCAATGAGCAGCCAGGGCCTGGGAAGCTGCTGTCAACTCTTGCCTTCAAACCATTCCCCAAACACTCCCCTTCCTCGGGAAGTAATCTGGGGCTTGCAGCCAGACAGAGCCACCGGGGCTGAGCCCCGGGGCCAGGGATGCTGGCTACTGCCAGCAGCGCAATGGGGGAATCACAAGGACCCAGACCTGGATCCCAGGGAACCACAATGGTGTGCTGAGCCTCATTGCCAGCATGAGCAGGAACCCAAATCCAGCAGCATGGCTGCCTGAAAGCAGAAACATCAGTGGTAAAGGAAGTCAAGCAGTGCAGGAAAGGTGGGGATTTTGGTTACATTTTTCAAAAGATGACCTGTGATGAGAAGCTCCTTTTCTACATAAAAGCAACCCAGGTGGAAGAGGAACTTCCCAGCTTCCCCCAAAAAGGCACTAAGAGCTCTCGCTACACACATTCAGGACTTCTCACAAGGCCTGGAAGCAAAGGCAGAGAAGAGAGATCAGCTCTCCCTTACCTCTTCTTTGTAACTTTGAGGAAAAGGATAAAAGCCTGTTAAAAACTACCTTTCAGCTCCAGCCCACCCCAGGGATGGTGAGATCTCAGAGGGAGCCTAAGGGATCCTCTGTGGCCACTTACATCACCAGAGGAGCTTCCACCCCAATGAGCAGCTGTTGGGACAACAGACCCTGAACTTCCAGACACATCAGGACAAAACACAGCATGGAGGGGACTGTGACGCTTTCTCCCGCCACTACTACTGGCTCTAACTCGCCTCTTTCCCCTACGAAGTTTGCAGTGTTCCCCACCATCCCTTTCTGCAGCTGAGCCAGCCTCGAGGGTCTCTGCTGCCAAACTCTCCACCCTGACCCAAGCTCCTTTGCTGCCAAGGACAACTAGGAAAAGTTTCCAGTCTTGCCCCTCACATTCGACATGTTCCACACCTTTGCTCCCATAATCCCATCACTTTTTCCTCTGCCCAATCCTCTATCCAGTTTCCTTTTACGCCTACCTTCACACCTCGTTCCTCCAGCCCTGTACAACTACAGTCTTTCTAACTTTGCCCAGCTATGCCTCAGCTCTCCAAATGCTCAAATTCCTCCTTAAAATGTCTTTTCCTTACAGTGTTTCAGCAGCAACCCAACCCTCCTTTTCCTCCGCTGTTGAAACCAGAGTGAACGGCATCATTACGAGACCACGCATCAATCCATCCAGCACAAGGGCCCATCTGATCAGAAGCTTAATAATAAGCTCCATGACAAGAAATGACTGCACACTGTAAGTGCTTATTAAACAAAACGATCAACACCAATGAGAGCAGAAAGTAGATACTATTTTATAATAGATGCTCTAGATACTAGATAGATGTAGCCACTTGCTACACCAAGGGACATACCCCACACCAGGTCCACTAGACAGGCAATCTCCGGCAACAGGCAAGCCTCTCATGTGTTGGGCATTAGCCACATCACACCTATGAACCCACCAGCTCCTGGGTGAATTCTTTCGTTTTGCTTCCCCCTCACAGCTGTGGTGCTATCCTCTACCTAAGCCCCCACTCCCTTCTGCCTGGCCAAGACAGTGGGAAGAGAAGAGCTCCTGTTTTCCCCCACCATGCAGGAAAGGCAGAAGATGCTCTGTAATTCCTTTCCAGCAGCAGAAGACGCAGGGGTAGATGTCACCCCCTCTCCACCTTTTTATGGGGGCGGAACCCCACTCATAAAACCAATTCTCACCCTTCCCATTCACTCCAGACCAGCATGGCACTGCCCTAGAAGGGAGGCTTTAACCACACTGGCTTACTGTAAGGACCAGTGCACATCTACCAACAGCATCCTCACACCCTGGAGGGAACAGAGACCCCCTGAAAACTCAGGGCTCAGTGACTGACCCACTGCCTCTTGTGTAACACAAGTGCACTTTGCCCCTCAAGGTAACGTGGCAAGCGGGCACACAAGTAAGCACTGCCTAACGCTGACATTGGCAATGAGTCATCTCAAAGCTGCGCCGGCTTCTTCCCGGCACAAAAAAAATTCCTAATGAAGAGCAACGCTCAGGCTGCACATGAGATGACCCAGTCTGATTAATGCCCAGTCATCAGTCCCCCACAGATCTCTGTTCTGGCTCCACAAAGGTCGGCAAAGGAAACAGCACAATGCAAATCAGGGGTCTGGGAATAACCGGCCCCTTTCCACTGAGTGCCACCATTGCATCCCTCATAGGAAAGGACAGGGCAAACTGGAGCCCAGAACAAGCATCATGCAGGAAATGACTTGATGGGAGAAGGATCCAGAGTGTTCACTCCTTCCTTCTTGCAGTCAATAATCCTCCTCCAGCTGTAATGATTTCCTGTTTGTCCAGCTGCTTTGACCCACTGAGTCACTGCTCATCTCCAGCTCACCTATATCAGGTTTTTATCTGGAGAAGAGGAGGCCCAGCCACTGCCCAAAAAACACGGTCCTGGTGTGTTCCTGACCACTTGCTTTCTTGAAACATTGAGCAGCAAGTTACAGGATGAAGAAAAAAGAAACAAAACAATAAAAAATGGTGCTAGCAAAGGTTAAAATTCAGGGTTAATGCTCTAGAAAAAGAACCTCAAAAGCATGGAACAGGTTATCACCAGAATACAGCAAGGGCTTTAGAAACTCCACTAAGCTACTGTAATACAATCCTATCCCTTTATCTCTGTCAATGCTCAATTTCTTGATAGCATGAATCAAATTTGATATTTCCCTTAGCTGTGGACACATAGGGTAGGAAATGTCAATTAGAAGAAAGCACACACAAGCCATGTTCATATTCAGAACTACACAGAAATACTCCGGTAAGACAGCAGCAGGAACTCGCAGTGCCAGAATAAAATATTATCTGTGTGACACTGAGGAACAACTTACTGCCTGATCTTGTCATTCCTGGGTCCCAACGGCCCTCTCCTGCAGGCAGAAAAGAGAGCAATCAGTATGGAAGATACAACGAAAACATGTTTTTAAAACAGACTCAAAAGATATGCAAGAGAGAATCAACACCTTCTGGATGGAGGATTGTTCTCATACCTCCCATCAGTCCCTCCCACGTCTCACGATACATGGGACACCCCACTTTTATAAAGGTCACACCTATTAAGTCTTAATTCATGCTTAAGCCATGCCAAGGCTCTGGGAGATCATCTCAAAGGAATCAAAGGTTTTGATTCCCAAGCCCCCACCTACGTGGCAGGGAACAGCTTTTGGTATTCGACGCCTTCAGTCTCAGAGCTGTAGGCAGTTAAGACATCACATTCCCTACAGCAACTGTTCAGAAACTCACAAGAAAAAGTCTTCCTCTTCATCTGAATCTTCCTCCAACAGGTTCCTCTGCAAACATAGAAAAAAACCAAACCACTTTGTCAATAAGCAACCACCATTTCACACACACGTTTCCAGCCCTTAGGATGCAATCAGTATCCTCTGACTGCAGGTTACGCACGAGCCCTCCTTTGGAGGGGATCGATGGTACTTTTTAGGTGTCTGGAGTTGTGCTGTTTCTCTCCACTTGTGACCAAGGGATGAGCTGGATGTCTGTGTGCTGCTATTATCACCTCGGCAGTGTTTGCTAACTCTGTAAAGCACAGACCAATGCAAAGCTCTGCAGCTCTGACTTTGGACAACTCGCACCTCTGCCACTGAGCCAAACTGGATTTGCATCAATGGCCAGTTGCCTGTGCAGGTTCAGATCCCAATTCTAGGGATCACTACAACTCCCTGTGACACTGAAGCAACCAGTGCGTCAGCACGGTGAGCCCTGCCTTGGAAAGCAGTCGGCAGAGTCCCTGCACAGGCCAGTTGTGGAAGGAAGGCCCTCTCTGCTCAAGGGACGATCCCCAGTGCTGCACTTGGTCAATGGCAGCTGCTAAAAAAAGTCAGCATCTCTTACAGCCACCCTGGGGTATCCCATCCACATGGAAAATCAGATCCACTCCTGATTTGGAGGATGTGGTGTCTCCAGCCATCTGACAGCAGCAGGTGTAAGAAGGATGACTGCAAGGAAACACATTGGGCTCCCTGCATGGTATGTCCGGAGGGGTTCACTCCTCCAAACCCCAACTCGGGCAAATGCTACAGCCAGGCTGGAAAGCAGAGCAGTCTGGTAGCGCCTCTGCTTCACGCCAAAGGGTTCCTCACTACACCCCATCAGACGATCCAAAGGCTGATTTTTAAGAGCAACCTCAAGATCCCACTTAAGCTTGAAAGTTTTAGACAAAGATGTACATTAGTAGAGCTCATTTCTCTTACCAGAGCAGCACAAATTTTCCAATCGAGCTGAGGGCTCCCAGTAACATCTACTTAGGGTCAAAAATAACCAAGAAGGGGAAACAGCACCTTAAACATGTGGGCCTAGGAACATATCAGATGGTCCTTACGGTACCAACAGCTGCTGCTTCCCCTGTGCATAAATTTGGGCTCCCACCTGCAAGCACAGTGCTCTTATTTTGAAGCTCACCTACATTTCCATCCTTGTCACATTTGCTCAATCAACCCGCAAGACCACGCAATAGTTTCAGCCATCGCCTCCCTCAAGGGACGAAGGAACCGCTCTTGGCAACACAGGATCCTCCTCTCACTGACAGCTATCGTGAGCTGCAGCAACATTTTAGACTACAGTCTAAACTCAGTTTTAGCACAGTATGACCCCAGGACAAACACATCAGCTTAAATCCACTTTGTTTGAAACTGGCAACCGTACCACTTTGACCCATATTTCAAAGCCTGAAACGTCAAGGGACCTTGGCAACAGGAAAAAAAATTCAGCTGTAAAGCACAGGGTAACTTCACATGAGTCCTTCAGCCAGCGACGTGGGGAGGAGAGCCATGACGTGCCCAGGCCAAGCTCTGCGGAGAGGCAGGAGACTGGAGCACACCGGGATCTCACAGCCGTAGAGCCAGACTAAAGGAACTGAAACAGGTTCTCAAAAGAGCCGTATCTCCTCACAAGGTTTGTTTTAAATACACAGACCAGGTGTGCCACACGGATAGTCCCCTCACTAACTAAACATCGCTATCAACAGTGATATGGGCTTCTCGGGCCCTGTGGCCGAAGGTTGTGGCAACAGGAGCCCCTTCAGCAAAGGGAGCCATAGCTTACCTTGCACCAGCCCGGTGGCTATCGGCACAGGGCAATGCCGAGGCCCTTGGGGTCCCCAAGGCGCATTAAGGCCCACCTGCCCGTCACGGGCACCCCTACCTTAAGTAACAGCCTGCTATGGCACCGTTACGGCCACCGGCGCCGGTCCCCTGCCCCGCCGGTACTCACCCGCTCGCTCTTCACCGAGCCCGTCACCTCGTCGTCGTTCAGGTGCCTCTTGAATTTCGGAGGCATGGTCTCTACCTGCGGGAGAGGCGGCTTCCGTCACCGGGAGGAGAAGCCTGGAAGGGGAGGCGCAGGGAACGGCCGGGTCACCTCGCTGCCCGGCACCCGAACTCCTCATCCCTCGGCCGGGGACCGGGAGAACGGGTGTGAGGGGGAGGGAGCGACCGGAGGGGCCCCGCGGGCGGCCGGGCAGCCCCTCGCACCGGTGGGCCCGGAGGAGTATGGGGGGAAGGAGCCCGAGGCGGGTGGATACAACGGCCCCAGGGGAGGGGGGCTGCAAGGGCAGCCGGTGCCCGGCACCCGCGCTTTCGCCCTGCCCCGCCGTTCCGGTCCAGCCCTCCGGGGCCCCGGGGGCCGCTGGCGAAGCCGACCCGGTGCCCAGACAGAGACACCCCACCCCCGCGACGGCGCAGAGACCCCACCACCGCCCCACTCACCGGGCTCCGCTACGGGCCGGGCCGGCGGGAAATGGCCGGTGCGGCGGCGGCGAGTCAGCTGTCCCATCGACCGCTTCGGCGCTCCGCCGGCCGCGCCGAGCGCCGGAACAATCGATGCCGGGGCGGGAGTCGAGGGCGGGGAAAGGGGCGGAGTCGGGGGAGGAGGGCGGGAAAGGGGGCGGAGTCGGGTCGGAGGGCGGGGCCGGGGTGCGGCGGGGCGCGGAGCTGGGAGCTGGCGGGAACGGTGCGGGGGGGTGGAGGGACGGGACGGGAC